TAGAGAGTTAATATAAGAATCATTGCTCTAAATAATTACATTTATAGTAATAGGTATCTTATAATATAATAAATTATTATTCTTTATTTACAAATTACACACCAGAGTCAATATGCATTTACAATTACATACCAGCTTCATAGTTGGTGTTAACTTTTATGGAAATAAGTAAAAAAAATATTAAAATAATGGGTGGTTTCTTACTCTTCAATAGGAGCAGGGCTTAGCTTCTTCCTTCCCCTACAGTGAAGCCAACTGAAAGCTTTTGGAAGGCAATTAGTGCAGCGACTATGCTTCCTCATGTTTCTCTTCCGTGTTTTAGACTCATCATTGTCAGGTTGCGGCTGAGGCGGAGGCGGAGGCATGGCGTCTGAGAAAGAAGAAGGCGGTTTTCTTTTTGACCTAGGACGGTCTATGGTGGTTGGTAAGCAAGGGAAAATCTTCTTGTGACGGTCAACACCGCCTGCTTGATTAACCCAATAGCTATCCTCAAGAAACTGAGCTAGTTTTCTCCCATTCTCTAATGTTTCGCCTTCTTGCTTATGACGCTCAAAATCTTTATATTTGTACCCGTAATTCCAGAAGTGATCCTGATGAAAGAAGTGAGAGAGGTTCCTTTCTCTTGCTAGGAAATCCCGAGGCGGTTCGTTTTTGGAAAGAACAGTTTTATTCTTTATGCCATTGGCCATCGTCATCCTCGTGTCCATGTCCATTTCCATGCTCACCCCCCTCCTCATCCCCATGTCCATACTCAAACCCATGCCCATACTCATCCCCATGACTATCATCGAGCTTTCAGACTCAGAGCTACTTGAACAAGGGCTGAAATCTGCCAAAACAAGAAAAAATCTCTTCTTAGTTAATGCCTGTTTAAGTCGTCAGCCTTGTGGTTTGTTCTTTCATGGGTACCTATATGACTAATAAAATTATATTTAACCGCTTCCCGAGGTTGAAAGCTCCAATTTCGAACTTAGACTTGCAAAGATGGATTTCTGAATTATATATATATATAAAATGACTGCTTCTAAGAAAAGTAGGTCTAGTTGCTTTAGTATCTTACCGCCATTAGCACTTTGAAAATCATCCTCAGGTTCGGATTCTGGCAATGGCCATTCTTCACAATCGAAGAAGATATCCTCTTCACCATCTGTATACAAACAATGATGAAATTACAGTTAATAGTGATGATAAAGATTGTGAGCAAAACCCGTTTCAGAAAATTAGAAGATACCAAAGTCAATGGATAATGTGTGGCGCGGTAAATGCTCCCTGAAACTGGTACGGCCATTTGTGTTGAGAAGCCTAGTTTCCTTCGCAGATGGAGATGCCTTTAATAGCTTTTCAGCTTTTGAACTGATGGCCAAAAGAATTGCTCCCAAAACTTCAACTCCGTTAAATTTATCCCATATTAATGAGAAGAAGAAACAAAAAGACTGCATGTCGAATTCTTCTTCTTCTTCTTCCTTTTCTTTTCTTTTTTTTTTTTTTTAAAAAAAAAAGTAATTGTTATGTTTTAATACTTCTACTATATATGTGAAAGGCTAATATCCCAGAAATAAAGGAATAACAACTAAAAGAAATTATACAACTTCAGAATCAGAATAAGAGAATCAATGGACTCTGAAAACAGAGTTATATTTTAAATAAATGCAAATTCTGGAGTTGTAATTTCAGCCTGTTTATATATTTATGTATGATAGATTTAAACAGGCTTACTTTTTCATCTCTCAGTGAAGTTTTTAATTTATAATAGAAATTTGGAGGTGGGTAACATACTGAACGGTTCATCACTGGGTAGTTGGAGGCTCTTGGATGATTATGAAGAAGTTTCAGAAAGTTGTTAAAACTCTTCATTTATCAGTTTGAGAGGTTATGAATAATGTCCAATCATATTTCATCATCATCCATATCTTCTTATAATATTACAAAGCCACCCTTAAAATTAGCCGGTTTCAATAACTAGAAGCTGATCAAACATTTTTATTGGGAAGAAAAATCATGTGAATATAGATGCCATCTTCTTTTCTTCTATTAGTTATTAATCGGCTAAAATAATATCGGAAAGCTTTTAAACATCTCATAATATGTGTGTATTTTCGCTTATATTCTTATTTTGTTCATGTAAAAGCTCCCATTAGGAGTGAATCCTGGTTCAATCGCAAGAAATAATTTTTGCAATTCTTCTCAGGCAGAAAGCTACTTTTGTAATTGCATTTCTGGACATGAAGACAAGAAAGACAGGCTTAAAACAAAATATCTTACACATTTTTTCTGCAAAACAAATGGAAACAGGATAGATGGAGGAGTAGAGTTTGTACCTTTGAATACAAATTAAGAATGGAAGATATAATGAATTTTTTTAAAGAAAAAGTAAAGACAAAAGAATTACAGGGCCATTTACATTGACATATGAAAGAATATTGAGGATTTAAGAAACGAGTACATATATGGATCACTACTGCATCATAACTCTGAATTCTTCAAAGCTTAAAACGCCATCGCCATTAAGATCGAAACTATTAATCATCACCTTACATTCATCAATGGACTTGGACTCACCGAGTCTGCTGAGCATTTTTTTGAGGTCGTCGGGCGTGATGAACCCGCACTTGTCAACATCATACATGCCAAAAGCTTCTCTCAAATCCTTCAACTTTTCTTCTTCACTTCCTCCTTCCATCAAACCAACGAGATCTTCCATTTCCAACAACCCATCTCCGTCTTTATCCAACGACTCCACTGCATTCTCTACTTCTTTTAGCAGCACCTTTCCACCCATCAAACCTAGACGGTTGCTCAGCTCCAATGGCGAGATTTTCCCATCTCCATTTTCATCGAAGTAAAGGAAAACACGTTCGAATTCTTCACCTCTGACCATAATTATGATTATACGAGGAAAAAGGGTTAGTTTTTGTTAGGAAGAGAAGAGATTAATAAATGTAGAAAGCTGAAATGCTTCAGTTTTTGAAAAGAATAGTTTGCAATGATATCCTTATATAAAGGTAGAAAGGCGATGAGGGGTGTGTCCTGGATCCTTGGAAGAACTTGCTGTGAATTTTCATAAAATCAAATGACTGCGTTCAACTTCTACTTGAAGGAAAAAAATAAAAGGAGGAATAAATAGCAAGCGTGTAGTCATTAAAAGCGAAGGAAAGGAAGGAGAAGGAGCGAGCACACGCGCAAAGCTGAAACGTCTAGAAAATATTGTAATGAGACAATAATTAAAGAAAAGAAATGCATGTGTTAGAATTACGTGTACGGACTCTGGGTGGATAGTGTCAACATATTTGTCAAAATGGCTCAACAGGAGTGGGTCAACAAGACGGCCGGCTCTGCCTCCTGTAACGTCATCTTATGCATTTTCTTTGATGTTGTATTAATATTACACAGAGTTTTTATTAGTGTTTAAATTGAGAGAAAATAATATAAGCTTTGTATTGAACCTACGTCTACTAAATAATTTTAATTTTCTAACTCCTTAACCACTTTTTTTTTTTTTTTAAAAAAGATACATAATTTTCAAAATCATAATTCAGGAAAAAAATAATAATTTATAAACATTATTGTTAAAATTCATCATAAATGTTGTTTTTCACACTTTTCTAGTTTTCCTCCTCCATTTTTAATTTTAACTCGTCATATGGGTACTATATCTTTATTTATCTTTAGTTTAAAAATATAATGTATATTTTAAATGATAAATTTTATTATACTGAATAACTAGTTTTTTTTTTTTTATTAATACAATACCCTTGTAAGGTCAAGATTGAAAATATTTTTTTAATTTGTATTTTAAACGCTAAAAAAAATATAAGTTTTTATTAGTGTTTAAATTGAGAGAAAATAATACAGTATAAGTTTTGTATTGAATGTAGGTCTACTAAATAATATTAATGTTCTAACTCCTTAACCACTTTTAAAATAAAAATAAAAATTAAAGATATATAATTTTCAAAATCATAATTCAGGAAAAAATAAAAATATAAAAACATTTATAAACATTATTGTTAAAATTCATCATAAATGTTGTTTTCACACTTTTCTAGTTTTCCTCCATTTTTTATTTTAACTTATCATATGAGTACTATATCTTTATTTTAAAAATATAATATATATTTTAAATGATAAATTTTATTATACTGAATAAATAGTTTTTTTATTAATACAATACCCTTGTAAGGTCAAGATTGAAACTATTGTTTTAATTTGTATTTTAAACGCTAAAAAATTTTTTTTTGGTTTACCCCCTAGATAAGATCATACTTTATCTATTAAGCTTTTCAATCCATAGTTTTTTCAATGATTTAGATTTAATGGCTTACAGTGTTGGATGCTGAATTGCGGGGCTTGCTTCGTGGTTTCCCATTTGCATTGAATTGGATTTGTTGTTCACATCACATGATCTCTAAAGGTTTCAACTCCAATCACCCTCTTTTTCTTCAAGTTTCTGAATAAAACCTCAGTTAGACATGTCTACAGGAAAGAAATTTGGTAGTTGGGTCAATGGTCATTCTAAAAACAACTGAAATATTTTTCTCGTGAAATAAATGTGAAGACATGATAGTATGAAACGCAGTTCATGTGAACATCAACATATTTGAATTGACAAATGTAATTTCTTACATTGGAGCACTTACTATTTTATTTATGTAAAGAGATAAGCTTAAGAATCTCAGTTTGTCTGTCAAATTATCTTTCTACTAAAGTTACGCTATGGTATTATGGTCAAACATTGTTTTCATCAAACTTCAGTCATTACTAGGAAACCTTGGGTCTAGGCTGAGTTCTCCCGAATTTGGCCCGGGGATAAGTTAGGGTGCCTTTGTTTCACTATTTTATTCTATCATATTCATATCCTATTCAAAATACATATTTGTTTTAAAATTTTCAAAATCTAATCATATTCTATTTAACTCAAAATATTTTTTTTAATCCTCTAGGTTTATTAATTTAAGTAGATACCCTTAACAATACAAATTTATAAATTAACAAAAATACCCATACTCACACCCACATATCACCCGACAGTCGGTCACCACCATCGAAAGGTGACCAGAATCTGCCGAAATGGCTTACGACTAGTTGGATGTGGCCGTCGTGTGCTGATCTAGGAGAGATCTACGACCAAAGACAATGGCCAGGTCTTTGGCCACATCTGATGTGTACAGTATACCTAGTCTCGTGTGTTGTATTTATGTAGATAATATATTTATCTTTTGTTTGGTTGCTTGCTTTTTGAATAGCAATAAACTTTCAAGCATGAAATGTTGAGCAAGTTCACTGACATCAGAGGTATATTCTGCTTTAACCTAGCAAAATTTTGGAGCCAGATAATTGCCAAAACTTTTACTACATAAATCCAATTCCGTTAGGGTAAGACTCCTTGGAGCCCCTAATTTTGACATGCCTAATTACTAAATAAAATTATGGTGTTGAGCTAGATTTTTAACATTTGTGGATGGGAACATAAAAGCTTGGTTGGATGACCACGATGCGGCTTCCCACTCTTGGGCAACAATTGCATATAATAAGTCCTTAACCACTTTTTTTTTCAGTTAAAAATATATAATTTTCAAAATCATAATTCAAGAAAAAATAAAAACATTTATAAAGATTATTGTTAAAATTCATCATAAATGTTATTTTTATTTATTTTCTAGTTTTCCTCCTCCATTTTTAACTTATTATATGGGTACTATATCTTTATTTATCTTTAGTTTAAAAATATAATGTATATTTTTCTCGTGAAATTGGAAAAAAAATGAAATAAATGTGAAGAGTATATCAACTATCCTTTTATGAAACGCAATTCCTGTGAACATCAAGATATTTGAATTGAAAATTCTAAAGCCATCGAGTTTGTTACCTTGGAGCATTTAGTATTTTATTCATGTAAAGAGATAAGCTTGAGAATCTCATATTGTCTATCAAATTATCTTTCTACTAAAGTTACGCTATGGTATTATGGTCAAACAATTAGGGTGCCTTTGATTCAGGGAATGCAATATTACTGGGAATGTTATATTAATGGAAATGTATATTAGTTTGAGGATGCGTTCAGTTCAGAGAATGTTGGATTACTGGAAAGTTAGATTACTTTGAAAATTACTTGGAATCTTTAGGAAAATGTGTTTGGTTAGTTGGTAGGCATGTTATATTAATATGTTTGGTTGGGAGAAATAAATTGGTAGGTATGTTATTTAAATTACTGAATTGTCCTCTAATTAAATATTATTATTTAATATTGTTATTTAGATTATTATTTGGATTATTTAACCCCCCTACATTTAAAAACTTAGCTAAAACAACCCCATAATAAAAGTTTGGAAAATCAACAATGCACCACCACCAACCCAGCCACTATCGACCGCCAGCAAGCACCGTAGGCAACTATCGGGGGCAGCCGGCAACCTAATAGTGCACGGAGGGCAGGAAATGGCCTCCGTGCGCCATATGGCCATTTTTAGCTAGAGATTTGGTCGTTGACGGCTAGATCGACAGATCTGACCATTTTTGCCAGATCTCTGGCTAAAAATGGCCATATCGGCGCATGGCGGCCATTTCTTACCTTTCGTGCGCCATTCTAGCGGTGGCGATGGTTGCCACCGGTGGTGGTTGCCAGCATCCGACAGCGACAGGTGGGTGGGGGTGGTGGCTTGGGTGGGCTGCAATTTGTTTTGAATTCAAGGGTATTATTGTCCTAAAATTTTATTAATAAGGGATATAATTATAACAAAAAAAAAAAAAAAAAAAAAGATTACTTTGATAATCTTACAATACTTAAGAAAATGGAGGTAATCTGATTACCTCCAATATTACCAACAGTAACTACTATTGGTATTTGAAGATTACCGAAATCTTATATTACTTGACAGCCAAACGTGATAATCAAACAATATTAGATGACATAACCTGAGTAATCTCACATAACCCCCAACCAAATGCCCCCTGAAGGTTATTAGGAATGTTTAGGGAAATGTGTTTAGTTAGGTTGAAATAAATTTTTGGGTATGTTATATTGATATGTTTGATTAGGCTGGAATAAATTGGTAGGTATGTTATATTGATATATTTGGTTGGAAAGTAAATGAGTCGATATGTTATATAAATTACTAAATTACCCTCCTTTAAAAATATTTATATAATATTTTTTGAATCATTTATTTTAAACCCCTACATTTGAAATTTTGCTAAAACACCATAGCCATATAAAACTTTAAATTGTAGCAAAATCAACCCCACCCACCTTAAGCCACTGCCGGAATGGCGCACGACTAGTTGGATCTGGTCGGTCGTGTGCCAATAATGCCATTTTCGGCCACAAATCTGGCTGTGATTTGGCTGTTTTCGACAAGATTGAAGGTAAAAAACAGCCAAATTGATACATGGTCAACAAGATCCCGCCAGTCGTGTGTTGATATGACAACTGCAGCCAGCGATCGACGGTTGTCTTCGGTGGCTAAGAGTATTTTGTTAACTTTTAAACTTTTTATGACTGGGGAGTTTTAGCTAAATTCTCAAATGTAAGGGATTTGGGTAATGGTGCTTTGGTAGACATTTGAGGACAATTGTGTCCGAAATAGTATTTAATGAAAGGCAAAATAAATATACAAATCAGATTACCTCGGTAATCTTTTAATAACACCCCCAGGCAAGGTAATCTGATTACCCCCTATATTACCAATAGTAAACACTATTTACAACAAAAGATTACCGTAATATTTTATTACTTGCAAACCAAAAAAGAGAATCTTGAAAATTAAACGAAGATTACCTGGATAATCTTATATGACCTCGAACCAATCGCACCCTTAAATGAAATTAAATTTCAATCATTACTAAAAACCTCGGGCCCAGGCCGAGTTTACTCGATGTTTGGTTGATACGAATACAAGGGTTTCCTAAAATTTGACCTCACAAATAGGACCTAAAGTAAGTACAATAAAATCTCTTTATAGCGATACTCTATATCGGAATAACTTCTATGTAGTTGTAAAAAAATTCAGTCCCAACTTGGGATAGTTATA